GGGCGGGTGAGGCTCAGCGGGAGGGTTTGCGTATGAGGGGGATCTGGATGCATAGGAGTTAGGCAGATGGGGAAGCAGCTCCTTGTATAGTGATCCCTCCCCTTGCAGCTGAGGAGCGATGGGTATAGGAAGCACGGGAGGGTGGGGGGGAGTGTGCAGAGCTTCCTATAGCCAGGGGAGAAATCTGGGTGTGGGTTTGACATGGTCCTGGATGCTGTCCAGAGGAAGAGGAAGTCCAATCCTACCCAGCTCAGCCGGGACTAGCAGCTGAGCCCGGCCCAGGGTAGGAGCCACCAGCCGGGTCTTCCCCAATCCTGCCCCCAATCCCACAGTGATTTACAACTCTGCCAGCTGCCCTGGGCACCTGAAACATACTGCTTGGGGAGGGTCGCATGACCGCTCTTGTGGCTTCCCTTTGCTTCCTCATCAGAAAGTCATTTTTTCTGCGGGGAAGCAAAAAAATCTGCGGGGGACATAAATTCTGCACATGCGCAGTGGTGAAGAATTTCCCCAGGAGTAATGAACGTTCTAAAAGTATGTTTAAACTATGTAAGCAGGCAGGGATTGATAAACAAGTTTTTCCCAGACAAAGGAATGTTGGTTTACCTGTCTGACTAGGTCTCAGATGCAAATTAAGCACGGTAAACCAAAGCCAATGGAATATATTTGCATCTGAGGTATACAAGAAGATCAAGTTAACCAGAGGATGGTAAAGAAGCATGGTGTCAGCATACCACAGCACAAGCAGCAGGGGAGAAGGATCTTAGCTGGAGGTACACTTCAAAAGGACCCATTTCAAAGGATTACCAGACTATAAAAAGGAAAAAGAGCCATTTTGCTATCCATCACCGAGGGAGCAAAAAGAACAGCGATTTTTGCATTAATGAAAGTTGGATCCTGGCCCAGGGACGGGGCTAGTGACACTGAAGCTGCTTTCGGTGAGCAACTTTCGTTAGACAAGGATTGTAGTCTGCTAAAGTTGTGTTTAATCTCTTAAAAGGCTGCTATACTTTCGTTTTAATTGTTCCCAATTCTGTTTCCACTATCCCTATTCAGTATCAATTAAATCTCTGTTTCGTAATAAACTTATTCTTGGTTTTATTATAAATTCATCTCACTGCTGTATATTAAGTGAAGTGTAAATGCTCCGCTAAACCAAACAGGCTGGTGTGTACACTTTCTCTTTGGAGACAGCAAACTTGGTTATTTCTGTGAGTGTCCAGTGACAGGGGCTGGATGCTACAGGAGAACGCTCTTCAAGAGGGCTCAGAGTGCACCTAAAGATGAACTGAAAGGCGAAAAAAAGGCTGGAAGAGCTTCTGAGGAGATTGGGTGGGAACAGACTGGAGTGACAGGGAGCTGTCTCTCTCTAACTGAGGCAGGGGGGATAACAAGGTGATTTATAATCCTGAGTGCGTTGAGAAAGTGTCACAGCTTCTTCTGGCCTCTTCTCCTTCTGGGGAATCAGCACTGAAGTTCACAATCTCTCCCCCTTCCATTTACATCATCTCCCCAAGAAGAACCTTAGCACAATCCCAGACCTATTGGCCGAGCTGGATTGACTGGGTCACCTTCACTAGCCAGAGGAGATCCCAGTTGAGTGACCCAAGACTCTCCTCTTCTACACATGCTTCTTCACTCTATAGCACTCCCAGCCTAAAGGAGCACCAATAGCAATGAATTGAGCCCATCTCTCCCGCATGGCACTGAGGTACAGAGCATTAACCAGCAGAACTACACACTGCTCTTTCCAAAGCCATTTCATTTAAGGCTGCAGCAAACAGATTTAATTTATTTGCTGCAGTCCACTCCTTTTTTCAAAAAAATCACCCCCTTGCAGGCTTCCGAGCACTGTTATTAATATGCTTTCAGATATTTATATTTATTTCCTTAGACAACCAATTCCATTAATCAGCTTAGCCTGCATCCCAGCCAAGCTATCTTTCCTCAACATGCAGCAGATACCAAGCAGGATTTCCTAATGATTTTCCAGCCAGTTTTATTTCAATGGACCTCATATCAAACTTGGGGATCAATCCTGCACTGCCAACTTTACAGGAGTAGAAGGAACACAGGATCAGGTCATTGGAAAAATTATAAGGGGCAAATCCGGACTCATCTACATTTATCTATATCCATCTATCTAGGTAGCTATATGGCCCCTATCATATCTGGTTTGTGTCCTTCCCAATGGGTGGAGAGGACCCAGGGTGAAATGGAACTAAGAGGACACACCCTCTGCACAGCACGGGATCAGCCCACAAAGCACATTCTCTTGTAGCAGTAGAGCCACTCCACAGATGGGGATAGCAGATTCCAACCTCTGGCATACAGGACTACCTGCGCCAAGCCTTTGTATCTGGGCTCAGCACATGGGAAAGACTGGCCCCTAAATGCATGAGAGGAATAAGAGCATATTGCTGATCAAGCATACAAGGAATGCCACGGTAGGATTTCTTCTAGTTCGACTTTTAATCAGGTGTTTCCCTCAGTAAGATTTATTGCTCCCCAATCACTATTAGCTCCTTGTCTCTCTTTTTCTTTCTGACCCCTGTATTATTGACAGCCATACAGCCTGGGACTCTCACAACTGTACACTACAGGCAGCCTCCACTAAAGTTTTCCCACACAATCCCCAGCGGGAAGGCATGCCAATTTGGAGAGCTAAAAATAATTTAGCACTCACCCCAGAGCAACGTGTTCGGAGCGCTGCCAGTCTCCGTGTACTATGCAAAATGACCAGTGGTGGGGTCTGATTGTTATGCAACCAGAGAGGAACATCAGCTAATGACAGACCAAAAAACACTGAATGCTGAGCTCCTCGCTAGCGACAATGAATGCATCTTTGACCCAATGTGGTCACTTCTCCCCATGCCCCACCCTGTTACTCATGCTAGCCACACCCTCAATGTGACATCACTTGAAAGACAGGGAAAGAGGCAGCAAAATGTTACACAATGCACTGCCAGCCAATAAGGTGACACTTTAAGATGTTGGTTTTAACCTGCAATCCCGAAGGGACTTGGACCTGAGCAAGCACCCAGCCTCATGCAATAGGTGGTCAGGTGTAGGGTTACTACTACAGTTAATGTTATTACGGCAATATACGAGCAGCTCACCATGTATTTTGTTAATATTTAATCTGTGACTTCTTTCTTAGGCTGAAGCTCCAGGCACTCTATGGCAAGATTTTCTAAGCTACCCGAGGGATCTGATTTAGACACTCAATTGCCATGAAAATGAATGGGATTTGGGCACTATAATACTCTAGGTGGCTTTGAAAACCCCTCCCTGAAAAGTACAAATAAATATATGTTTGGATGGGGGAACTAAAGCAGACAGGTCAAGTAACTTAGCCCTGGCTATGGGATAATTGATGTCCAGAACTCTTGGCTCTATCTCTTTGGTGCCCATTATTGCAGTATCTGAGCATTTCACAATCTTCTGTGTATTTATCTTCACAACACCCCTGTGAGGTAGGGCAGGACTATTATCCCCATCATACAGATGAGGGACAGAGACACTAAGTCATTTGTCACATAAAATGACTGATAGAGCAAGGAATTGAACCCAGCTCTCCTGAGTCCCAAATTAGCACCATAAACCACTGGACCATCTTTCCTCCCTCCTGCCTAGCTACAGGCCTTGTTGTGAGACCAGTAGGCAACACCTGTCTGCTTTCAGTGCTTCTAATAGTTCAGTGCCACTCTAATTATTGTCCCTGAGAACTGTAAGATGGATTCAAGACATATCTGCAAGCAAAGGCCAACTGCATGCACTACGATCCGCTAAGCTATGGCTCAAAGTGAGTTTGAACTCAACTGTTCAGAACATTATCCTCTAGTGAAATGTTTGTCAAACTCTTTGCTATGTGATCGGCAGGGACAGAGCAGGCAGCAAAAAACCAGACACACAAACCATTGCTTTCCACTGACATGATGTTAAAAAGATAAAAGAGAAATTATCATGCGATGTGCTCAGTTGAGTGCATGGGAATCTCATACCGGGTTGCTCTGTGGCTTGACAAAATAATGCTTGGTTATAAATTCAAGTACTTCATGAACAATGGAATGTCACTTTACTCTTGCGCATTCCACAGTGGGTGGTGATAGTGAAATGCTCACGTAAGCGTATATATTCTAAAACATAAGTACAAAAGATTTCAGATTCAACTTGCAAAAGTTCCCAGTGTCTTGATTTTTTAAATTCTCTCCCATCTTGGGTTTTTTTGGTATATGTATGTACAGCACCTAGCACAATGGGGCCCCAGTCTCAGTTGGGGCCTATAGGTGCTATTGTAATACAGTAATAACAATTTCAAACACCCTGAAGTTCCTAGCTTTCAGAACCGGGGGTTTGTTTGGGCTTCATAAGACGACAATGGCCATTTACAAATTGTGGGTGCGGATCTGAGCTTGAATCAAAAACACCCACAAATTCAGGTGTGTTGGAATGCAAGCTCTTTACAGTGACTGTTTTTGGTTTGAACTGCATTCTAGGAAGGTGGACCTATCTTATAAAGAATGCTGCCATGTCCCTGATGTAGAGAATTGTTTTGTGTCATCAGATTAAACAATGCTGTTTGAGTGAATTATACCAGGACATGTGCTTGTCTGCAATTAAAGCCGAATGCAAACCGACATGGCTGAGATCCAGAAACTGGCTGACTGTCTCACACCAAGCGTAAGCTGACCTGATCAGTCTCAGCTATACAATAAATGTTACTCCTGGTCTGCCACCATTCTGCTCTCTGATTTGTCACAAATTACTCCCCTTCCAGCAGTGAATTACCTTCAAATTTCATGCAGAGCAGGTCTAATAACTAGAACAGAGGGCCTTTCAAATGGCTGGTTCTATGTAGCTTATGCATTTGTTGTGGAGGCTCTAAAACCCTACAGATTTACAAACTAGAGCGGGTGTCAGATGTTCCCTGCATGTATTTCCAAGGGTGTGAAGCAAATAATTTAACTGCAGCCTCTTTGTGCCAAAGCAAAACTTACCTCAGTTTTTCCTTTACTCTGACAGGACCTCCTAGTGTCTTCATCTGAGCCCCATTCTGTTGCCTGGGAAACCAAAATGTACAAGTCACATGATAATAGTGTGAACTATTGCTTCTTGGCTAACCCACATCTGGAGACTCAAAGAAACAAGAGCAAGCATCTCAAGTCAATTTATGCAGTGCAATTTGCAGCAGGCACTGGGACAGTAAACATAATGTCATATATATCATTCTTCTTGTGCTCACAGTGCAAACAAATGATAAATAGATGAACCATCCAGGGGTTGAGGCAACTAACCCGTTAACAGAGAACAGATTTTAATTTGCATGTAAATACAACATCTGATTATAATTCAAGTGGAAGGGTCCAATACACAAGCCCCATACACCAGGACTTTGCCTTTTTTAAAGGTACAGTGCAGTGTAAAAGTACCATCTTTAAGCACTAAATGGAACAACAACAACAAAAATCCTTACAGCGAAGTCGTAGGTATTCAACAATAATTTTGCACAAACTTGTTTAAGTTTTCTTAAAAGCTCCCCTGAGATAATCACCCTATTACTGAAACCTAGTGTTAGTCACACTGCAAAATCAGTTGGATAAGATGAGAAATGGAGGGATATCTTGGCAAGGGAATATGGGGGAAAGAGACCTCAAGGTGATTCTACAGCTAAAGAAATGTGGAGTGCTTGGGCCAGATGCTTAGCTTAGCCTTAGTGTAAAATGGCTATGCTCAGTGCTTAAATGCAGCTGGAGCTGTCCAGAGTGGAGTTCCGGTCAGGGGCGGCTCTATGTATTTTGCCGCCCCAAGCACGGCAGTCAGGCGGCTTTTGGCGGCGCACCTGCGGGAGGTCCGCTGGTAACGCAGATTCAGCAGGTCCGCTGGTCCTGCGCCATCGGCATATCCGCCGCCGAATTGCCGCCAAAACCGCGGGACTGGCAGACCTCCCGCAGGCATGCCGCCAAAGACAGCCTGACTGCCGCCCTCACGGCGACCGGCAGGCCGCCCCCCGCGGCTTGCTGCCCCAGGCATGCGCTTGCTGCGCTGGTGCCTGGAGCCGCCCCTGGCTCCGGTAAACATTTTTAAACCTGGGGCTGAAGCCCTGAGCACCGGGGAGCTCAGCACCTTGAATGCGGGGGGGGGGGGGTCGAGGGGGGAAGATGGGGCCTCCAGGAAATACTATACGGGAATTTAAACCCTGGCTATATTGCATTGCCAACAGTGGAGTTATGCCCGTCTATACTAGCTGAGGATCTGACCCATAGGGACTGCTTAGAAAGAGGAGTCAGACCCCCAGCAAGACTGTATCAAACAGAGCAACTTCCAGCTTTAAAATATACCCGCACCAGAGCCAGCTGTTTACCACTGTCTCAATTTTTCCCCCTTTAAGCATTTTTAAAAAAATAAATAAATTCGAACAAATATTCTTAGCTTTAATAACTGGCAGTGAAAATACACACAGACATGCAGACTGTACATTGCTCTGAGTGCTAGCAAAATAGCCCTTCAAACAAGATTGGATTGTAAGGTTCAGATATGGATCCAAACTCCGCTAAAGGAGACAGGGGTTTGGCGGGTTTTTTTCCAGCTCATAACAAAGATTGGTAATAGCAGCAAAGTTTGGTCTAGAACTGAACTTTCTCCCAACTTTCTGACTGCTGCCAATATTTTAATAATGGGTGTTTCCAGAAATTGTCCCCTTGACACAAGATGAACCCAGGTTGCCATAGGACGCAGAGGAGTGCCTGCAGAACAGAGGGGAGCTATTAGTTTTTCCAATTCAACAAAATACACTCTCTCATAATCACAACCAAGGACGGAGGTAGCACCACCCAGTAAGCAGTATCCAGATAGGGGAAAGACACCATCAGAGGTAGGGAGATGACTCCAACAGTCCCTTCAGTCCAGATGTGGAATTTTAACTTGCAGCTCCCATCCGAGAGATGTAACACTACAGTTAGGGGGTTTGGATTCTAGGTCCTGGTTCAGTCCCATCATCACAGCCAGCTAGCTGCAATATTCTCTACCCTAAGATTAATTTTTGACAAGCTAAACAAAAACCAACCCAACAACAAAAGACTACCCCCACGACACAAACTCCAGAGCAAATAGCTTATTTGATAGTTTTCTTCCCATTTCAGAAACACTGAGAAGCAGCACTCTCCTTTACAGCACCCGTTTAGCATGACAGCCCTTGGCAGGACAAAATGAAAACAAAAAGAGAAGGTGACTTACCTGTAACTGGAGGTTCTTTGAGATGGGTGGTCCCAATCTGTATTCCATTGAGGTTACGTGCATGCACCCAGAGCCAGAGCTTTTCAAAGTAGTATTGCTTGGAGATCCGCGCATTCAACCTTGTATTGCCTTGGGATTTCATTCTAGGTGATAAAGGGTGAGGAGGACTGGCCACACCTTCTCCACTGCAGAACTACAGACCTACAGAACCATAGCAGAGGGGTGGGACTGAAATACAGATCAAGACCACACGTTTGAAGAACCTCCAGTTACAGGTAAGTAACCTCCTCTTCTTCTTCAAGTGATGGTCCCAATTGTATTCCACAGAAGTTGATTGACAAGCAGTACCTTGAGAGGCAGAGGGTGCGAGGAAGATGGCAGAACTGTAGAACGGAGGACCGCTGCACCGAATGAGGAATCCGTCACAGAATGCACCCTGAGACCCACTTACAGATTCTCTGGGTGGAAATGGCCTGTCCTTTAATTCTCTCCGCTATGGCGACAAATAGCTTGGGAGACTTCCGGATCGGCTTTGTCCTTTGCAGGTAAAAGACCAGGGCCCTACACACCTCAAGGGAATGAAGCCGCCGTTCCTCGTTTGAGGTATGTGGTTTTGGAAAGAACGTAGGCAGATGTATGGGTTGGTTGAAGTGGAATTGGGAAACCACCTTTGGCAGAAACTTGGGATACAGTTGGAGCGAGGACTTGTCCTGATGGAACGTGGTGAAAGGGTTTTTTTGCCATCATGGTGGCTTCCAGCTCACCAACCATCCTCGCGGAGGTAATGGCAACAAGGAAAGCGACCTTCCTGGAGAGGACAGGGAGAGTGCAGGAGTCCAGCAGTTCGAAGGAAGAGCAGACTTGTATATGGTCTGTCCACCAACAAAGACAACAGATGACCTCGGGTGGAATGCTGAGTCTGATGTCCATTGACTGATGCACAGGGGAATAGATTCTTTGCAGCCATAGCTGTAGACAACAAAGGTGCAGGTGGGCAAAGGGCATGATGTATGAGCACGCTGCCATGTGCCCTAAGATGGAAAGGCAGGTCCTAACCAAGATCGAAGGGTTGGAGGTTTATCAGGGACTGAATAGGGTAAAAAGTTGATTTTTCAACGCTGATGCTCACTCCTAGGGAGGAGATGAGTAGAAGCAGCTAGGACGTCAATGCACGAGCTTCCTCTTTGGACCATGCTGCCAACAGCCAGTTGTCCAGGCATGGGAAGACAAGAATTCCCTGACATTGTAGGTGAGTCACTACCAAGAAAAAACTTTTGTAAAAACTCATGGGGCAGTGGTAAGTCCAAACAGAAGAACCCTGAATTGGAAGGGTCTATGCACCACTTTGCACCTTAGGAACCTTCTGTGGGTCGGATGTATGTCAACATGGAAGTACGTGTCTTGCATGTTGAGAGCTGTAAACTATCTGCCTTTTTCTAGTGAGGGAATGATGGCTGCAAGCATGACCATACGGAACTTCGGTTTGCGAACTGAGCAAGTGAGGTGACGGAGATCCAAGTTCAGTCTTCATCCCTCTTTCTTCTTGGGTGCCAGGAAATAGTTTGAATAATCCTCCTCTGGGGTAAAAATACTGTTGTGAAAGGGATCTCTATGCGGGGGTTAGGACGGGAGATGTGGAAGAGGCGGTGTCATAAACTCTATGGTGTAGCCATGTCAAAGACGTCCAAGACCCACTTGTCTGTTGTTGCAGCTTTCCAAGCTGGTAGAAAGCGTTTGAGACAACTCCCGAAAGGCGTGGAGTGTAGGAGCACTGATTTACAGAGTGGTTGACGGCATTCTAGGCGCACTCAGAAATACCATTTTTGCGATGACTGAGTGCGTCATGGAGAGGTCTGAGTTGCCGGAACAGGTGGACGAGCTCTGTGTATCTTAGGGCGCTTCTGAGGAGGTTTATAGGCCCAATGGTGGTAGAAGTGAGGAGTTCTATAGCGTTGGACTAGTGGTGGATGATAACATTTTATCTTTGGTGCCAGTGTGTATATGCTCAAGGATCAAAAGATGGCTCTAGAGTCCTTTAGAGAGTGTAAGGAATCATGAGTTTTCTGGTTGAAGAGGTGTGATTCATGGAAGGGAAGGTCCTTGATTGTGTTCTGCACCTCTCCAGGGAGACCTTAGGAGTGTAACCAGGATTCCCTCCTCATGGCAATTCCAATCACGATGCAAGGACATGTCCGCTGAATCAACTGCAGCCTGAAGTATGGACCTGGCGACCAACTTGCCTTCCTGTATAATCTATTGGAATCAAGTACGATCCTGCTGAGGTAGTTTATCTGCAAATTCCTCCATCCAGCCATGGTTTAAAAAATCATACTTGGCCATCAGTGCCAAGTAATTAGAGATCTGGAACTGTAGTCCAGCCCAGGAGGACTTTCAACAGATGAGGTCCAGTCTCTTACCCTCCCTGTCTGCCGAGGTGGAGCATGGGTGTTATGGTTTGATCCACTCTGACGCAGCCTGTATTAACAAGGAGTTATGTGGAGGTTCTGAAAATAAAAACACTGACCTTCTGGGGGGGAAGTAGTTCCTTTTCTCTGTCCCCTTTGGGGTCAGTGCACATGTGGCCGGGGTATGCCACATAGTGCATGCTGGTTGAAGAATGGCATCACTGATCAGTAAGGCCATACTTGCTAGTACCGATGCCTGCAGAATGTCTACTATCTGGTGCTGACTGTCCTGCATCTCTTCTAGGGGGATCTCAAGAGCACTGGCTGTTCTCCGTAAGAGTTCTTGAAACTGAAGGTCATTTGCCGGGGAGGAAGATGTCGATGACACAGCTGTGTTTGGAGACAATGAAGGGAATCTCTCCAAAACCACCAGTACCATTGGAGCCAGGCTGATTGGTGCTTCATCTAACTCCATTTCCGAACATCTATTGGACGAAGAGTGAGACAGTGAAACAGGAGTTCTCCCGAGCCAAATGAGACTGTTCTGAAGGCAAATATTGGGGCCATGAGCTCCAAATGGCCAACTCGTTTGATCCTGCTGTTGTCGTCCTCCTTGGATTTAGAGGAAAACTTACTGCCATGCATATGTGCATGCTTCTGTGGCTCACGGCTAGGCCCCGATGCGGAGTCCATAGCACTAGTACCAGCAGATCCTGATGGAGGCTCTGCAATAGAGGGAGTGCTCAAGTTGATGTACAGGGGTGGGGGGGTTCCCCAACCAGGATCCAACTTTGGGCCCATTGCTACCTCCATGAGATGCTTCTTGAGGCAGAGAGCTCTGCCTTCCCATGTATGGGCAGGGAAGGAGAGGCAGACACTGCACCTGGAGCTTTATGTGGACTTTCCCCAAAAACAGGACAAACAGTGTTCATCACTGATGGAAAACAAGCGAGGGCAGGAAGCACAGACTTTGAATCCCAGCATCTTCGGCATAATCCAGTACCCAGACCTGGGGGGCAGGGGAGGAGAAAGACTGGCAGGAAAAACTGTTGAAGCGGCATCCCAAGTCCTTATATATAAAAACTGCTAGAAATTACCAAAATACAATGAAAAAACACAAAATCCTAACTACGAGCAAAAATAAAAACAGTTGTGTAAAATTTTTTAAAAATGTGTCACTAAAACAAGAGGTCAAGCAGAAGCTCCTACTCGGACCATGCGGTGGTGAAAAGGAACTGGAGCTGTGGATGGTCCGCCCCGCCTTTTTTTGCCTCGGGCGAAACCACGAGGTAATATGAGTGCGCATGCGCGGACTGCCGAGCAATACTACGTTGAAAAGCTCCGGGGGCATGCAGCATGTGCATAACCTCTGTGGAATACAATAGGGACCATCACTCGAAGAAGAACCATTGGTTTTTTAGCAATTGATGCTGCCACTTGGTAAATAATCTGGGCTCTTTGGGACTGCGGCAATGTAATTGAGAGCAGAATCTGGCCCTCTATAGAAGAGCCTCTACTTTCCACACACAAGCTCAGAGTTACTCTGCAAACACAGTTCAAGTCAGGGATGTATCTGTGCTCTAAACCATGTTTTTGGTGCTGGGTTGTTTCCTTTTGTGGACAACACTGTCCTTAGGTTCCCCCAAGTCCCCTGATGAGACTGCTGATAACAGAAGCCCTTGCTGATAGAACGAATTATAGCAACATGTTGCCGGTGACTGCACCATTCGTCAATTTAAGTTTCATTAGAGTCAAGAGGCTAATTAAGCACTAAGGCATGTTTTATTAGGCCAGTATACACACCTCAGGTAAGCTCTGAGGCACAGGGTTGAGGGCTGACCGACTCCAATGACCTCCAGTCACTCAAAGAGCATATTAAAGATCCTGCAAAGGGGAACCTGGAGCTTCTTGTCACTAATAAAAATATAGCTTCAAAACCAAAATGCTAATGTATGTTTAAGGAAAAGTAATTGTACCTCGATGAATGAATGTGCGCCAAGGGCCTGTCTCAAAGCCAACTGAAGTCTGGCCATTCATTCTGATGAGCTCTAAGGGTCCCACGGAGGGCCAGGATTTCGAGCTCTCAGCCTTTTTATCACCTCTCCTTTTGGACTCAATCTGTTCTAGCTGTTTAGATCCCTCTGCTGGCCAGACCCCCCTTTTCAGCTCTGCAACCACTTCCGAGTTTCTTCTTTCATTTCTGCTGTCCTAAGCATCTCGGATTTACCCTTATTGCAAGCCTCCCTAAAAACTGCTCAGGCTTCAGTGTAAGCTTGTCCTTTCTACTTCCCTTCCAAGTCTCTCCTTTCCAGAAGCTCCTTATGAAACCTTCCTCTTCCCCTAGACACATTCAACACTTCTGCTTCAGCCAACTTTATCTCCCAGTACCTTTCAGAATCTCTTCAGTCAGTCTTTCCAAGGAGACATATGTATTCTGCGGCACATTGAGTATATAAAGCACATGTGTGTCTGGCTGATACCTACATAAGCAGCGTAATACCAAACTTTGGGGGTAAGGCACCCTTGCACTCATTTCACTACCTGATCACAATGCATATGGCCAGCCCAGCCATGACACATTTTCTTAGCCCCTAGTAAACAAAACAAAACAAAAAAGTTATTTCTGTTTATTTCTCAAAGCTGTCTATGCACATTTAGCTACACTGCAAACTAACTAAGCAACAGGCTGCTACCCACCAGGCTGGAGATCATCTTGAATTTTTCATTCATTTTCTCAGCTGTCTGAGCCATTTAAGTTTCACTGCCACAGCAAACATAGACTGGACTATTTCCGTGCCTCCTGATATGTGTGTCAAGCAGAAAAACAGCAGATGCCTATGGAATGACATGGTAAGACACCAGCTCTTAGGTGACTGAAGCTGGTAGAAGGATGCAGAACAGGAAAACAGGAGAATATGAATGTTCTTCTAGCTGCTTCCCCATCTCCCACATGCTTACACCTGCAAGCAATATTTAGCAGTTTGAGGATTGACTGATCGGGGGCACCAGTACTTCACTCCCTGTTCCTCCTAACCTTGAGGGTTCCATCTCTTCTCACCTCCTACCTGGGGGGAGGGGGGCTTCCAGCCCCCTCGCCCCTTCCCTCTTCCTATTTCCAAACAAACTTTGTGGGGTTTCTTATTGTCAATGGTTCTGGAAACTTTGGGGACCTCATATGAAACCATGTGATCCATATGCATAATGAAGCCCATATTCTTGTACTATACGAGTCTGAATAGCTAGTCCAAGGGCACCGTCACTGCATAAAATGATAGGCACAAAAAACATGCACAGAGTGGCCCACCCATCTGTGCGGGCTGGCACTAAAAATTCTGGCAACAGTATCTGAGGACTGATGGTGCCATTTAATGTGCTTTTCATTCATAAAATTGACAGGTGCATCTGCTTCCCCTCTCCTCCACCTCTGTGACTTGTGTTCCTTTCAACACATAGTTCTTCTCCCCAAAGGCTTTTTCTGCAACTTTCTGAAGCCATGCAAGCCATCTCAGATACATGGTGCAACAGTGGCTAAATGGAGAACACTAAGTACCACAGAGATGAGCCACAGACGCAAATCTGAACTTTCTTAAAGTTCATAGATATTCTGATTGAGAGTCTGGGTTTCGGCTGTTTTAATAGGTGATAGAGGCCAGTTGTAAAGTTTGCATCCAGTTCAGAATGTATTTAACGCTGATGGATTATCTGATCTGAAAACTCCATTCTATCTTGTGCTTTCAAACTCTTTAGCACTCAGCACACACTTCTCGGGGACTTTTGTAGATCCAGCTACTCAGTTACCTACAGGTGCCACAGCAGGTATCCTCAGTACCTCCTTGTGTCACACAAATCCTGGTGACCTAAGTCATGTGTCCCCTCAGACTCTGATGCAACACTCTCACTGACTTCCTGGGCCAGACTTGTCTTTGGCCCAGTAACGTTGATTCGCAATCTATAATTAATTTGAGACTGCATTTTAATGAAGTAGATTAAGCTCACAATAATCCCTGTGTTATACTTGGACTACAAAGATACAGTTTTTGCCCAGAACTAACTAAGGTATCATTTCAAAAATGGAAAGCAGAGACTATAAAAAAAAAAAGTTACACTGCATATGTATTTGGTAAATGAAACCCATTTTTAATTTCTAAAGTATCTCATTACAAACCCATCCATCTGTCACCATCCTCACTTCCATTAAATATGTGTTCCATAAGAGCTGCTGACAGCCTTTCGTGCCTGCAGCTAGGCCCAGAATCATGCTGTTCTCTTCTCTTTTCATTAAGATCTTTTGTTTTTACATCTTATGTTATTTATATCTGGAGGTGATTGGAATGCACGTATTGCAAACCCAGGGCCTGATTCTGCAAGATGCCGAGCATCTCCTGTAAGACCCTGACGCCCCCCCCCCCCCAATCCTACAAATGTCTACAGGAATGGAAGGAGCTCAGCATGTTGCTAGATGAGGTCTACAGGGACTGCTAAAGGCAATCAATTCACAAGAATACACAGAGGGGGATTCTTCCATCTGCCCAGGACAGAAGAGGTGATTTTGGTTCCATGCTTGTTCAATGAACGGCACCCTGAGCCCAGATTGCCAGCTCCATCAACCTGCACTTAGACCTGAGCTGGCAAAGTTATTTCTCTCCCTTACATGTTCCTTTCCAATAACCCTAATGGGGGCTGGTATCTGCAGTTAAAATACTCCTCTGAAAAGAGAGACACCACCACCAAGGTAGCTTCCAATATTCCTTATTCCAGCACAAACGTCTGCATTTCTTATCATTTACATTAGTAAATCTTTTTGTACTGACTCATTTTGGACCTGACCCTGTGAGGTGCAGACAGCTCTCAAATCCCCCTGACAGCAGGGAGCACAGAGGGTGCTCAATACTCCACAACAGGCACAATTAAGCAAAGCATTTAAGCATTCACTTAACTTTAAGCATGTGATTAAATCCATCTCCATTCAGCAAAGCATGTAAACATATGCTGAAGTCTGTTGATTTCAACAGAACTAAAGCACCTTGCTGGACAATGATGGGCTTTAGCATGTGCTTAACGTTAATCAAATGCTTAAGTACTTTGCTGAATTGGGGTCAGCGTAAAGCCCTTTGGGCAAAATGCTGCCTACAGAAGCCAGCATTTCCGCTACAAATTGCCATCATAAACCTCTTCATCCATTTAACACCAGTCAGAAAAATGTCAGTTCCATAAAGTGCAACATACAGATTACTGTTGATGTAGACAAACTACTTTATAAGGCCATTTCTATGCTCATAAATATTTGATAATCTCCACAGAAGACAAAGTCCACACCATCAATGACAATGCTGACCTACCGTTTATGGAAAATCCGGTAGAGTTTAAAAGGAAATGATAACTTTCTATTGGTGTTAAATTACAGAATTTAAAAGAAACCACCTCTACTAGATGATTCTAAGGGTTGGATCAAGAAAACTCTTAAGAATGGATCTCATTTCATTCTATATAAAAAGTATTCTAAAAACCTATTCCTTTTCTACATAGCCTCACTGGTTTCCTCCTCATTAAATTCTATTCGACTTATCCATAAAGGCCTTGGTTTTTGTCTGCTAAGTACCAGGCACATTTTCCTTGCTCTATAAACAATAATTTATCAAAATCTAACTTCTTAATAATACAGAACAGAAGCTCAGTGCCCTAAAAGCCACTTCTGAAGTTCCACAGCAGTTAAATGTATTAAAACTGTGATACACAAGGCTGATAATCAGATAGAGTTGAAAGCGAATATAATGCTGTGTCTCAGAAAATAGATGCGCTAAGTATTGCACTGGGCAAATTATAGAACATTGCTGCAGACTGTGATGCCTATGAGGAATGGTCATGGAATTCAGCAAATTAGTTTTTGATGGGAGCAGAAGTGTGGAGAGGAGAACTGCACTGCAGCTAATCAAGTTGCTAATTGATTTCCCTTCAATGATCTCCAAAGCCTTAGGATGTGATAAAATGCAAGTTGTACATTTCATTTTCAACCCAAACTAACCACACTGTATATCAGCAAAAGCCAGCATAACAACCTGGCTCTACCCCAAGTGACTGGGCTAACCATATGTGCTACAAGTCACCTGCAGGCGCTGAACATTATAATGGAACATTTAGGAGGCAGGAGGGATACGTACTGGAAAAAAAATCAAAAGGCCCAGATCACCATTAACCTGTATTAGTGGGTATATACATTTTTCACCAGTGCAAATCAGCGTACAAGGATCAGGGCCATAGTGAATCAAGCCCTCTTATTATAACTAAAAATAACCTATTAAAACAGTGCACCTGATTCTGCTCAGACACTGGTCTTAGACTTATGTAACTCCTGATTTACAACAGTGTAAGATCAGAATCAGACCCTACGCGTAAGTGACATTAAGGGGAGGCATACACCAGCCAAAGGAAGAAAGTTCTTATTTAAGGTTTGCTCTGGATCTGTAGGTGTATTGAGGATGAATTAAACAACCTAGCCCACAAAGAGTTTTATCAAAGTCCTTGTACACTGAGAAATGGTATAGCCCCAGGTTAGCTGCTGTACAAGAGTTGTACAAATCAGCTACAACCACTCTTCCTAAATAAGTCAACAGGGACAAAGCAGGACTGATCAGACACTCAGATTAACTCTTTCTTCTTCTCTGGTTGTATTTATTTTAACCATTTTGCACCATTTATTCCTGGCAGGGCCTGTTTCCCTTCCTATCATTTGTCTGTCTTGTCTATTTAGATGGTAAGTTCTTCCAGACAGGAACTGTCTCTCGCTAGATGTCTGTACAGTGCATAGCAGAATAGGGTCCTGATCTCAATCAAAACAAATGGGACTTACTGCAAAGTAAGGTAGACAAAATCTGGCCCTTAGTTTTTAAATGAAATTCTAAGTAATATGTTTTTGGTAAAGTACTTTGCCTTCTGTGTGTTCTTGCTAATGCTGAACGTTAGTTATTTCTCTCTCCTGAGCAGCTGCAATTATCATGTATTATTATTTATTTGTACTACAGAAGCTCTACACAGGGAGAAAAAACCTGCAGCTGACCCAGGTCAGAGGACTCCAGCTCCTGGGGCTTGGACTCTGGGGCTTTCGTTCCTGTGTAGATGTACCCCCAGAGGCCTGGACTGAGATGGAGTCCCCATTGTACTGGCATTATGCAAACACACAGTGAGAGACAACCCCTGACACAAAGTGCTTACAATCTAAACAGACAAAACAGGCAAATGGTGGGAGGGGAAACAGAGGCACACAGAGGCTCAAGCTCACACAGCAGGTCAGTGGCACAGCTAAGAACAGAGCCAGTTCTCTTGATTTCCAGTGTGCTGCCAGGTCCACAATACCACACTGCCTCACAGGTTTATTTCTGTATAGCATTCTTCATAGAAATAGTATCACAGAATGTTTCTCAATCACCAGGTCAGTGCTAGCTGGAACGGAGCAGCACTGGGAGGGTTTAAGAACAGGTTAGACAGACACCTCTCAGGGATGATCTGTGTTTAGTAGCTAGAGCAAAAAGGACTGGATACAGGATGCACAGGTCCTATTCTTAATTCCAACATGGATTTGGTGTGTGATCTTAGGCAAGTCAATCACCTCTGACTTTGTTTGCCACTGTGAAACTGGCATCACTGTTCTGTAGCTGTAAACTTTCATTTGCCCTGCAGGGGATTCCATTGAATAACACTGGGTTCCTGTAAATCAGACACTCCTCTTTCCTGTAGTGTTGGGTAGGAATTTACAGCTCCAAACTCTATATTTCCTTATCTCAAAGGGTTATTGTG